TGCTATTCTAATAATTTTAATTAATAATTCTCCACTGAATTCGGGTTAGGCGGAAAAGAAACCAGCTCGCAAGTGTTACACATGGCCCACAAATTTCGTTATACAATTAAATGATAATAATAAGAAACCGTCGAGTGTGGATAATAAGTACTGCGGATGCAATATCGTAGAACTGGGTTGAATGGTTGAACAATGGTGCGGGTAATTATGCTATAGATGTAATCCTTGATTAATAGACAATGGAAGATTGAGCATCGTTAAGATGAGCAGGTAATTAGGAAGGAGGATTTTTTATATCGAGATAGGGGATAAGTGGATTATTTTTCAATTGTATTCTTTACATTCATTCGTCGTATTGCAAAAACTTGGCCTGTACAGGTCTGGAAATGTGGGCAGACCAGATGGACTCAAAATTAGATGCTACATTTGTAAATAACTCCATTCAGAAATGGAATATCTGTGATGATAAAAGATATTCGGAGCATAGGCCCTTGAAACCTATAGGTAAAGCAGATCAGCAAACTTGGCTCGAACCAAATGGATTTTCAAATGAAGGATCTACAAACTATGAGTTGGCAGTAGACCTAGACAGGATGCTATTGACTCAAAGTGCAAGGAATATTGTCCGACATTTATTCAGAAATTGAACAGGAATTTGGCTACGGACCTAGACGAAATATTATTGTCTCAACGTGCAAGAGATATTGTCCCACAGTTAGCCAGAAATATAACAAGAATTTGGCAGCAGACCTAGACGAGATGCTATTATCTCAAAGCACAAGGAATATTTTTCCACAGGTAGCTAGAAATAAAACAGGAACTAGGTAGCAGACCTAGACAGGATAATATTGTCTCAACATGCAAGAAATATTGTCCCACAGTTAGCCAGAAATATAACAAGAACTTTGCAGCAGATCTAGACGGGATGCTATTATCTCAAAGCACAAGGAATATTTTTCCACAGGTAGCTAGAAATAAAACAGGAACTAGGCAGCAGACCTAGACAGGATAACATTGTGTCAACATGCAAGAAATATTGTCCCACAGTTAGCCAGAAATATAATAAGAACTTTGCAGCAGACCTAGACGGGATGCTATTATCTCAAAGCACAAGCAATATTTTTCCACAGGTAGCTAGAAATAAAAGAGGAACTAGGCAGCAGACCTAGACAGGATAATATTGTCTCAACATGCAAGAAATATTGTCCCACAGTTAGCCAGAAATATAACAAGAACTTGGCAGCAGTCTTAGAAGAGATGCTATTATCTCAAAGTACAAGGAATATTTTTCCACAGGTAGCTAGAAATAAAACAGGAATTAGCCAGAAATGAAACCGAAATTTCTCAGCAGATCTAAACAGGATGCATTTGTCTCAACATGCAAGGAATATTGCCCAACTGTTATCCAGAAATGAAACAGGAATTTGGCAAATGGCCTAGACAATGTTATTGTCCCAACCTGCAAGGAATTTCGTCCCTCTGTTATCCAGAAATGAAACAGGAATTTGGTAGCGAAAACTATTGGTGCCAAGTAATATTATCCCATAGTTATCCAGAAATAAAATTGAAATTTGACTGCAGACCTAGACAGGGTGCTATTGTCTCAATTTGCGAGGAACATTGTTCCACAGTTAGCTAGAAATGAAACAGGGATTTGACAGACGACCTAGACAGTATGATATTCTTTCAAAATAGAACAGAAATGTTCCTTGGTGAAAAAAAGTTATGGAACGAAGGCAGAAACTCAACTCTTTCTGCTTTGAGAACAACAGGAGCACTTCAACCGTTACCTCATCGCATTTTATGTCTACCGCCGTAGTAGACGAAACTTCAGACATTAAAACCTGCAGACCACGGCCAAAAAACCCGGACTTGGTTAAAATTGTTCGTGTGTGTGCCACAGTGTCGGTCAAACTCAAATAATAATAATAATAATAATGGTCTTTATTGGGTGAAATACAATATAACATCCAAAAGGCGAAGTTCAAAACTGCAGTGTAGAACACTACAGATTTGTTCTACAATCAGTTATATTGAGAAAAGTAACCAAAAGAAAAGGTTAACTATATGTTTCAACATCATCAACTGCACTGAACTGAACCTCTCAGAACGTAATATAAAATAGAAAAAAAATCTGTAGTGTTCTGTAGTTTTCACTTCTGTAGACAAGTTCTAACAATTCAATTGAGAAGTTCAAACTGTCAATTGAAATTGTATGTATGTAGCCTGCTTTATAATATCTCAGGGTTGCTCATAGAGGAGTATATACTTTGATAAAAAGGGATTTTTTTTGTTATCAAAACCCAGGGAACCAGCCTCTAAATCATTTTTGTTCTGTGCAAGTGTTGATAATGACTTGTTTGTTTTCTCCCCGTTTGTTGTTTAAAGAGATTCCAACTAGTGGCACTCTGAAATCAATTATATCCTGTAACCAAACAAGTGGCCATGTTTATTTTTAGCTATCCTACCGTAATGTGTAAAAATTCATGAGATTGCCAGCCTTGAACGCAGTAAATTGGCTTAATAAAATTTCAAGAACCGGTAGTTAGGAACGTTGGGTAATTGTTCATAGATCGTCAACCTTTGCGACTAATTTTAGCTAAAAACAGACATTGCGCCGATGAAAACTGTGGGCGGAATGTTCCAACCGCTTTAAGTGTATACAAAATAACATCCTCGTGCTAGTTTCGGACGTGTGTTATCGTTAGGATGGCAGATGTCTTCTTGTCTTCTTCAAATTCGTCCAAATGAATGCAATAAACCCTTGACAGTTTGATATTGACCTGATATAGCGGAGTAGATAAAAAATACACTGATGCCACACGTAATTGAAGTATAAAAAAGCCATTTGCTTGTAAGTGATTCATCAGATAGCCAAGATTCTCCAAACCTGTAACCGTTGAACCACATTTGAGCGCCCATGTACCTTGAGCTTGGCAAGTGTTATATTATAAATAAGCTGTATGTCACTTTCCCAAGTAGATATCTGGTTCCAAGTAGGTATCTGGTTCCAAGTAGGAAAAATATGGTCAACTTTGCTAATAATTGGTTCATAGAATAGCTAAGATTCTCCAAACCTGTAACCGTTGAAGCACATTTGAGCGCCCATATACCTTGAGCTTGGCAAGTGTTATATTATTTCCCGTGGGCTTGAGAATAAGCTGTATGTCACTTTTTCCAAGTAGGTCTCTGGTTCCAAGTAGGAAGAATATGGGTAACTTAGCAAATAATTGGTTCATCAGATAGCTAAGATTCTCTAAACCTGTAACCCTTGAACCATACTTGAGCACCCATGTACCTTGAGCTTGGCAAGGGTTATATTATTTCGCGCGAACTTACAAATAAGCTGTATGTCACTTTTTCCAAGTAAGTATCTGGTTCCAAGTAGGAAGAATATGGTCAACTTTGCTAATAATTGGTTCATAGAATAGCTAAGATTCTCCAAACCTGTAACCCTTGAAGCACATTTGAGCGCCCATGTACTTTGAGCTTGGCAAGTGTTATATTATTTCCCGTGGGCTTGAAAATAAGATGTATGTCACTTTTTTCAAGTAGGTCTCTGGTTCCAAGTGGGAAGAATATGGTTAACTTTGCTAAAAATTGGTTCATCAGATAGCCAAGATTCTTTAAACCTGTAACCCTTGAATCATACTTGAGCGCCCATGTACCTTGAGCTTGGCAAGTGTTATATTATTTCCCGTGGGCTTGAAAATAAGCTGTATGTCACTTTTTCCAAGTAGGTCTCTGGTTCCAAATAGGAAGAATATGGTTAACTTCGCAAATTATTGGTTCATCAGATAGCTAAGATTCTTTAAACCTGTAACCCTTGAACCATACTTGAGCGCCCATGTACCTTGAGCTTAGCAAGTGTTATATTATTTCCCGTGGGCTTGAAAATAAGATATATGCCACTTTTTCCAAGTAGGTCTCTGGTTCCAAGTAGGAAGAATATGGTCAACATTGCTTATAATTGGTCCATCAGAGAGCCTGTAATGCTTGAACCACACTTGAGCGCCCATGTACCTTGAGCTTGGCAAGTGTTTTATTATTCCCAGTGGGTTCAAAAAAAATTGTATGCACATAGATAGATTATTGATTATATGAAAGACAATAGAATTTAGAAACGCTTCTGCTATTAGGTTAGGTTACAAACAATTTTTTACTTCAGAAGTGTCTACCAATGAACAAATTTCATTCTTTTTTCATATTATAATTTACAATTTTTGTTTTGGACTTTCATTCTATCCACATGATGGTGGAGTTCAACGACCTTGCACTGCCTCGACTTCTCACAAATAATACCGTCATGTTTCAACCATTTGACACAAAACAATAATAAATTATTTGTATAAACCTTCTTCTTGTATTATTCCGTGAAAATCTGAAAATCCGTTTGTAAATTTGAGTTTTTTTCTGTTGTAATGGGATTTCTGTTTGAAAATGTATCAATTATAATATCTCTATCAACAAATTATACATATACCTATTGAATATCTCTGATCTATGTTAATTTCTGGCTAGTCAATTCGAAATATCGCAGTTCATATACGTCAGCTCCTCGATAATTATTTGCTAAATTATAGTGATCTGGTGTTTTCATCAGAATTTGCATAGTAATTAACGGTAACATTGCATCTGAAAAAATTGCGACGCCAACTCAATCAAGTTTACGCTTTTACCCGAAGTTACCACACCTACCTATTCGATTTCGTCTTTTTTATGTTTTCTTCACTGGATAATCACCTTTTTCATATGATCGTTCTAGACTTGCACTACGCTGAAACTACTAAAATGGAAAATGCTCGAATCCAAATGGGGTAATTATACATCAAAATCCGACATAGGCACGTGGGCGATTCGAAATTGGATGGGCAGCAGTGTTGTAGTTATACAAATAATTCTACAGGTGTTTGAGGCTGATATTTCTTTATTCGTTACATTATTTAATTACCAAAAGAAAATCAAAAACTGAAACGAGTAGTAGTAAAATCAAGGAGATGTAACATACTTCATTTGTCGAATTCACTGTTTAATTTGATATTATGATTATGACACTAATATTATGATTTTTCCAGTCACTAGACCTAATTGCCCCTCGTCCTACGAACTCGTGATTTGATCATAGTGATTGCTCTCAAATTATTGCTAAATAACAAAGTTTTCATCGAAAAATGGAAATGTATCGATAACGTTTTTGTGGTCTTGTGGTATTAATTTCGATAATCTAGTTCGATCTCCTGTATTGAGAGGTACGCCACTGTGAAACTCCCACAACAATATTGAGGATGACAAGAAGTGTAAAGGCAGCTGTTGAGATGTCGCTTTTACTATTTTTTTCCATAATGTTTCTTAGACAAACGCCAACGGAAATGATTCTTGATGAATCGCTGGTATCAGGCCAATGACTTTATGAGTACGACCATGTGTGTACAGGGTGGACTAAGTTTAAACAAAATTAGCATTTCTTTTGGTTTTTCAAAAGTCCGTTCTAATTCTTCTGTTCCAATATCTTCAATAACTTAATATTCAAATAATTGTAATTGTAATGTTCCAATCCAGTTTCCATGACGACAACCCTCAGAAATCGAAAAATGTATGAAATGTATCGTCTCAAAGGGACTTGTCAAACGTACATTCTAACGAAGAATACTTGTTTTTCAATCCTTTCTAATCCTTTTCATTTTTTACAGGACGGTGACCCAGTGGAACCGGGCATGGACTGCCTGCAGCTACGCCAACCAGCAGGGCCCTTCCACTACCTCATCAGCGAGCAAGCCAAGTCGCTGGTGGCCCTCCAAGAGCTCCAGCATGAGGTGGGAGCTCTACTCGAGTTCCGCGACCTCGTCATGGAGACGTTCCCTAACCTGCGCACCAAGTTGGCGGCTTCGACGCCAGCCACGATGACGTCGCACCACCACCATCACCACCACCCTAACTCAAATATACCCGTTTCGATACGACCAGGCGATTGGACGCCCGGCATCAGGGTGCGGAAGAAAATCGGCAGTAAAGACGAGGGGAGGAGCAAGAAGGGAGATATAGCGGTGCAGGACTCTGGATTCAGTACGGAGACGTCGAGCAAGGAGACGCATAGCGCGAGCTCAACGGTGCCACCTCCGTCGTCTACCGCTACCGGTGAGTCCAAAGGACCAGAAATGTACCAAATCTGGTGGACGCATCTTCGTTACATCTGCGGGATATCAAGATTTGTTGTTGTTTATGAGTCGCTTTACATCGGATCTGAATTCCTGCAGGACATTGTCGTATTTATTTGTTTACTATTCGAGAGCTCCGACTTACCCAAGTCTCCAAAACTCTGCATTCTAATGAGTCTAATCATAATCCTTCACAATTTCTTAAAATTTGTTGGGTGTTTGTCATATTCTTTTTGATAATCTGGATTGTTCCTGAGTTGCTCACCTCTTGTTATCCAGTAAAACATTACGAGCTGCCTATGTCTGTTCTTGTGGCATTTCAGCTGAAGTCTTCGTTATGAAGCTCTTGTTCATCTGTTCTCAAAATTGACAATGATAACGAGGTAGACCTGTATTATGACCCGATTCTCATATGTGGAGCAATTTCTCAGTTATTTTTCTCAAGATCACTTTATAATTGTTTTCCTCTGTTCTCAAGTGTATTTTTCCAGAAGTCAGTTTTTATTGACACATTTCCTCATTTCATTATATTTTATAGATTTTGGTACCCCCACAACTGAATCAGAGCCAATACCCAGCGTTGATGATTTGTGTCGGACACACTCATCAACTTTTCGTTACTTGCGATTCATCAGTGTCTAGGCAACATATATAGGGTCAATATATTCCCATCCAACAGTTTCTTCAGTTCTTTACGGCATTTCTAGACTAGTCTTGATGTAGCTCCTGGATTCATCACTGCTTCCTGGCTGTCTGAAAGAATGTTAATTCTGGATGTGAAGGGCCTAAATTCAAAGGTGTTGTGTTGTGGTTTCCGTTACTCTCTCCATTCCCAAACAAACAAGTCTTTGTATGTTTGTTAATAGCGTCAGTTCGTTTCATCTTTGACCACTAAGCCAAAGAAGCATCCGTTATAATGGGTTTGTACATCATGCTCTTCTACGTTTTTCCATAATTACGCCGGGCCAGCATCAGTGCTGCCTAAGTCCGCCTTCATCTTATCGCCGCCTTTGTATAACTATTGATGCCAAGCCAGCCTAAGGTATATGGTCACTTCAAAAAGTTTAACCTTCCTCGACAATTGTATCTCTTCATCTTGGAGAGATGACCTCCATCTTGGCCCTTTAGGTGCTAAGCTCTTCTATTTTTTAAGCAATTGCTCCTTCTTAAACGTTCATCCATCTAGTTACTCCAATTTCTGTTTTTGCCGTTTCAACTGTACTTCTTCATCTTCCGTTCTTTTTACCATAAGCTTCTAAAAATAACAAGACAGCTGCAACAACTATCACTTTCCACCTGTTTATGTATTACTTTCTTTTTGTTTTCCAGGCGCTGCAGACACGGACGAAGTAGAAGACGAACTCTGGAACCTTTTGGACATCATCCACCGCAAAGGCAGTCGACTCAAACACGAGGCCGAGGCGCTCCAAGGCACCATCCGCCAACAGGGCGAGAGAGACGGTGCTTTTCACAAAGAAAATGATGGAACGTTCCAGCGTGCTCTCTTCCACTCTTCTCCGGATGACGCCAGGCAGCTGCGTCAAGAGCGCGACCAACTTTTGGACAGGCTGGCCGAGATGGAGGCGGAAGTTTTGGCGGGTAGAGTGCACACCTCCAGGCTGCAAGAGGACTTGGAGTCGCTGCTCAGCGCCAAGCAGGATCTGGAGGAGCAGCTGAAAGCGGTTGTGACGCAAAGAGGTAAGGATTCAGTTTTTTATTGGATTTTTTTGTTGCGTTCTTTGGGTAGTCTTGCAATTGATGTTGAAAAATTGTTCTTGGTTGTAAAAATTCAATTCTTATTGAAAGACCAATTGCTTTCCTACCAATAGTTTCATTGAGTTTTGCTGAGATTTATCCAAGATAGGTGAAAACGAAGGTGTTTTATCAAATTTTATGGGGATAGATGTGGAAAATGCAGACTTCCAGTTCACCCCAGTAAGTTACTGATAAGTTATTTTAGAGGGTTTGAAGTAGACGTTTCGGAGACCTTCTTCATTTGTTCGTCAGGATTTTGAATTAGCTATGTCGCAGTTTTCTCGCAAGCTGTTTCATTTTTAAATTTCTTTGACACATGTCAAAGAGATTTTGAAATGTGTCATATGTCAAAGATGATTGACTAACTGAACATTTGGATGTAGTACAAGGTGTTCAGTGATATCAGTTTGTTGCCATCATTCCACTTTCTACGTCTCATTTCAAGGTGGGGCGCTAAGTACGATCTTTATGTGAAGAACTGTTGGGTATACAGTTCTCACCGGATGGATATAAGAATGTATGCTGACTCTCTTTAAGTTTGTGCATAGGGCTATGACAATAAATTCAGTTTTATTCCATTCTACTCGATGATCATCATAGAATTTCAAAAATTGTTCCCAGAATTTTGATCCTGTTGAGTGTCTATTTTTGTGCCTTGGCGCCACACTAATATACTTTCCACCACAAGAACAAGGTATGTTATAAATGTAAGTCTTTTTTTTCTTTCTGTGTTGTCAAGTTCTGTATATGTGAGTTGATATCCTGATGGTTTTTTTGTTTTGTATGAAGGTTTGACATCAACAATTCATATGGTGTTTGTAGTTGTTGGGCTGGTGTTGCTGTTCATGGATCCAATTGTTGAATATATATTTTCTATTCAATACAGTTTCCATTCTAATTTTTGTTTTCGAAGATATATGGAGATGGACAGTATGACAATGCTATCCGTGCCAATTTTTTGAGATCAACTTATCCAAATTATTATACTTTTTTTATGAGTAAGCTGGATTTATTCTCTCGAGAATCGGTTATATTTTTTTCACATCTATAGCATGTATCTTTTGTCATTCTTTGACATTCCACCTCTTTCTTTTCAGGTGAAGTGAATTCCAGGATCCACGACTTGCACCTCCAGTTCGTGACCAAAAGCGGCTCTACGGACAGTGAGAAAATAAACAGATTTTCGGTCGGGGAGAGAAGAGACTCGTCGTCTTCTTCCTCCAGTCAAAGAACTAACCGGAAAAGTGTCGTTAGTGAACTCGACAGTGTCTTAGGCGATAAGTTGCCAAAAGTTTCGACCGTAGCGGACAGTAAGAAGATATCCGCGATACTGAAAGAGCACGATCCTCTGGTGTTGCAGAAACATCTGCTGTCGTCTACTGTGCAGAATCAGGTGAGATATTATGGAATGATACAATTTTTTCTGTAACTGTTGAAAAAAACCGTTGAATATGTGACCGTTTCTTTGGGTGAGTAGTATCCTATATTTTTCAAACTGCTCTTCTGCAATACAGATCCATTTCGCCTCTCCTCGATCGTTGTTTTCCACAACGTATTTATTCAAGTAGTATTGGAATGATGTTCCATATTTTGCAAGCAAGACAAGCTGTAGGTGGATAGACTGCATGCTTAGGGGAAGATTGGTATAGACAACCATTATGGGGGAAACAGTCGTGGTACGGGTAGCAAGGGGCTGTCCTCAGGGGGGAGTTCTATCCCCTCTGTTATGGAACCTTGTGATGGACGAGCTACTATGTCTCTTGGACCATAATGGGTACAAAGCACTGGTCTATGCAGACGACTTAATCCAGGGTAAATACAATAATGTAGTGACGGGATGAATGCTGCAGGCTCTGAAAATTATAACAAGATGGACCGAAGAAGAACGGCTTAACATAAGCCCATCCAAATCGACCATAGTAGCATTCACTAAGAGGGCCGAAACGTAGGGTCTCTAAAACTTCGAGGTGAAGAAATACAAGTGTCGGGGGAATTTAAATATCTAGGAGTAATCCTAGATTCTAAACTGACCTGGAACCAACACTTCTACAGGATAAAGAGGAAAGCGGAGGTAGCACTGATGCTCGCCAGACGCACCTATGGAAAAACATGGGGGCTAAAACCAGTCATGGTATATTGGCTATACACAATGGTGGTTAAACCCATGATAACATACGCATCTCTGGTCTGGTGGCCAAAGATGAAGTAGGCGACCGCCATCAACAAACTAGGCAAGGTGCAAAGACTTGCATGTTTGAGAATGACGGGAGCAATGAGAACTATCCCAACAGCTGCATTAGAGACACTCCTGAAACTACCTCCTTTACACTTTGTGAAAATGGGGAAGGCCAGGATGTGCCAATTCAGACTGGAAAACTCACCGAACTACTTGTTCCGAGTGGAGGAGCTCATATATGTACACGGACTACATGACACCGAAGTACACCTTTTACACAAACTATACGGCCAAAATGATAAGCCATGAAGAGTGGAAGACCATTAGTCATCCCGAAAACATGTTTGAAAAAAACACCTGGTGTACAGATGGATCGAAGACCAAACATGGAACGGGAGCTGGAATATACCGAGCGGATAGAAATCTGAACTACAACTATCCGCTAGGATTATACACATCCGTCTTTTTCAGGCGGAAGTGTATGCTATCTTGCAGTGTGCAAGGCTCATTAAATTGAGACCTCAAAGAAATGGGGGGATCAATACAGACAGCAAGAGCGCACTAGGGGCTCTGACAAACTCGAAAGTGACATCAAAACTGGTCTGGGAATGCCATGAAGAACTGAATGAACTTGCAAACAGGAACAAATTGATTTTGTACTGGGTGCCAGGTCACCCAGGAATCACAGCTAATGATAAAGCTGATGAATGTGCTAGACGCGGATCATCAACTGCATATACAGGGTGTCAACGAATCTATTAGACAAGTCATAATTTCTAGACTATTAGGAGAATTGAAATGAGATTTGGTATAGTTGAATGGTATGTGGAGAGGAATGTTTTCACATATTTTTCACTTTCCGGTCACTTCCGGTTTCAGCAACACAGTAGAACCTTCATTAGGGAACCGTCCGAGAAAAGAACCGAAGAACTACTTCAATATAGATCCCCTCACCCTACTTATTTCTGCCACTGACCAGGAGTTCGGCAACCCCGTCCGTAAGGCCACTTTGGCTTCCCGGACAGGGCATCCAGTCCCCTAGCTGTTCCCCCACCCGCCACGAGGGGACGCCCCCGATAAGTAGCCCAACCCACGTTGATCCAATTGGTACATATTTCAATTGACATTTGCTGGTGACAAACAATAACTAATAAATAATCAGTAGATATAATGGCTTTTCCCAGATTTTGACTCAAGTTTTGTACTAAAGGTGCTTTGCATTCTTCTGTGTTTATAATCTCTAGCGAAGAAATCCCTGTTGGAAAACCCTATGCTAGTGTTTTCAATAAATAGAAAACTTTGTCCGAGATCTTGCCAAAACTTTGGGCGTGGTTTATATACTTAGCTTCATTGTTTTCTTCAAAGCTGACTCATAATCCCGCCGACTAGAGAACAAGTGACATGGAAAGCCATACTTCCGACTCGCGTTTGTACACGTGCATTTATCATCCATACAAGAATTTCATTGGTTTCTTTAGTCGGCAGTTCTGTTTGTCGATACTCGCACGTGGATTAAAATACGAGTCTTGTTTTAATTGATCGAAGTCCTACAGATGCTAATTAGATCTGTTCGTCACGAATTACAGGAATTTTTATGTGTTCATTAGTCATTTTTTATTCATTCTCAACAGTATGTACATCGACCTCTGATGATTTTTTTTTATAATCTCAATCAAGAATATTTGTGGCTAGAAAAATCGGAGCGTGAAAATTACAGGGAGTTTCCCAATAACATATTTGAGGTTGATTTTGGTTGCATTTTGAGAAAAAACTTCATATAAACATATGTCCTGAAGGTCTCAATATCTGAATTATTGAGTAACAATGTTAAAAAAAATACTTTTCATTTTTAAATATGCTGGTGATAGTATTTCTTTGCTTCAAAAGATATATTCTGCTAGTATCCATGTGAGCATTGCATCAGAGTCGGAAATAATTTTTTTTTAAATATGGAACATCGAAAAGTATACGCCATGATTTTTCTATAATCAATACATTAGAGAATTCTCATGAGAGGACTGGATCCTGCGGGAGAAGGAAATATTAGGAGCAGATAGTTGGTTCACAGATGAATCAAAAACACCTTCCGGTTCTGGTGCAGGTGTTTTCAGTCGCAGACCTAGGACAGAGATATCAACCTGCCTAGGAACCTGTGCCACTGTGGTTCAAGCGGAAATTTACGCTATTGAATTGTTTGCCGGGAGATTGGAAAAATCCAACCTCATATAAAAGTCAATAAAAATATTCTCGGACAGTCAAGCGCCGTTGGATGCTCTTGGCTCCTACCGAGCAAATTGCCAAAAACGACTCTCCTCGATAGGAAGACTTAACAGATTAGTATATATGCTAGGCCGGTTCTGGCTCCTTTCTCATGGAAATTTGTATGGGAAATGGCTAAGGTTCATCGTTGCATTTTTGGTTCCTTTCGAAGTCACGCGTACGGTTGAAAATCGGGCAGCGTTATCGCGGGTGAGAAATAACGATTCAAGCGAAACTTATACATAGTACGCCGAACCAAGTCATACTGCGCAACACCAAACTATACCGCGCTCTCATTGGCTGATCTCACAGAATGGGCTTGGTTCGACGTACTGTGTATCAGTTTCGCTCGAATCGTTGTCTTCCAAACCAAAAATTCTCATTTTTGTCGTCTGATGATTCGTTTTTATTTAGTCTGACATTACTTGGCGTTAAACTGCAATCGTGTGGAATCCCCGGTCAGAGACTTCGGGACTTCTCATTACTAGAAAGTCAATCAAAGAATCGTATGCAGACGCGGTCTCGCTTCATGTTCCTATATTAAAGTATTTACAGTATTTGATGTAAGGACAAATAATAGTGTTAACATAGTTTCATATATAACATGTGTTCAATCAGTAGAAATTCGAATTGTGTCGTAAAGAAAAATCATAGTGCGTATGTTTATTTTATTTATCAAGAAGTATTTATTATACTTTTTGAAATTTTGATATCAAAATTTTTTATAGATTTCCTTACAAAACATTATATGACTAAAAATTATGTCTATTATGCATTCAATTATGGTTAACAATACATCCACTTGATTGATCTAGATGAAAATGCGATATTTGTTTGTACTTTACTTTGACTTGATGCTGCAACCAGAACAGTTTGCAAAGGACTAACTGCGCGGCGTATTTGAGCTCATTTTAAAGGTCTCAATGAGTAAATAACCTCAGTGTTAGTGACCTAAACATGATGTTTTTTTATTACTTTTGAGTCGTTTTTTTAAACTTTTAATATTGTTGTTTGATGTTCCAAAAAAGTACGTGAGTAAAAATTTTGGTAAAGATCTCGTAATGATTGAAAAAATGTTTAACTCAAAGTATTTTTTTAAATTTTAAAAAACCCTTCTTGCACCACCAGAGGGTCTCGCGAAATGAACCTTGCTCACATTAAATTTAGCTCTTGCACCGCCACTGCATACTTTAATGCCTTTTCTTTAAGTGAATATCATTTTTGAAATCCTCACTCCTTTTTGAGCAAATCTGATACGCCACTGTTTTTTCTTCAGATAACATTTTTTTGAAATCTTCGTTTCTCTAGGAGCAAGTCTGATTTTTTAAATTTTCTCTTTGATGACGCATCGTACCTGCATAAAAAAATTTAATCAATTTACCTATGTGCATCACAAAAAATAAAAAATCTTAGGATTATGCTTATTACCAGAAACACAAATATAGTGATTGTTAGATTTTTTGTCATTATTATTTCGAACAGTTCGTGAATAACAATTGCTCTTTAGGAATAATGTTACAGTACCACAATCGAATGAAGTATGAAACTCTATCCTTTTGTTTCAGGTTTTTCAAGAACAGCTCGATTCTGCTATCAGTTTGGAAGTCGAACTCAGGGACAAGCTCGACAAGTTTAAGGAGGAAAATGAGGATTTGCGATTTCAGGTACGTCAATAGTCCTTGATATTTTGTAAATGTGTGTGTCTCGTTGAATAATCATCATACTTGACAATAACAATTAGTCAACTCAAATTGACAACGGCAAAATCAACAGTTTTGAAGCTTATGTCGCTTATGTCGCAAAAGACATTTTTTTATTTTACGTTCTTGAATTAAATCATCTTTGAAGTCTCAACATTGCTTTCAGCGAAGTTCCTGGTGAACATTTTTCACCGCCACGTTATTTACTGAATGGGAACATAAAAACCTATAAACACGTAACAAACCTATAAACAAGTACGTTATTTACTATAAAAAAGCTATTGTGTTAGGTAAACAAGTGATAGTTTTTAAAAATAAAGTTTGTGGAGATAAATTCATAAGATGTAGTTCATGAAACTATAAACACGAGCTATTTTTTCCATTAATGTAAAAGAACATTCCAACTGATAAATGTAACAATGAATATTTCAATTCGTGTCTGTGGTACCTTCTGGCACTCATCAATTGTTTCCTCGAGTTTGATGTTCAAATTATCACACCTAGATGTCGCCCACTCCGAATTCTTCCACCTATTTGAGGACGCGACTCGAGAGTGCCTCGAAAATTGAAATTATCGTGCGGCTTTTTCAATCATCACCCGAAATTAACAAGTGATTCACTGGCATTCCACTTGCTTTATATGTAATACTGCCCGAAGGCAGTTATTCTCCGGCCCGTATATCGAGCCGCAATCTAACCGAAAGAAAAACGTGACACGCTCAATGCGGAAATCGTTATTTAGCATCGTTTTCGTTTCGAGATGAAGTGTTTACATGTAGCCTGTCGCCTGAAGGTATTAAAGGTTGACGTAAATGTAGGCAAGATAACTTAAGCTCGGGAAACTATAATACTTTATACTGTTCGAAAAAGTCTGTGGTAAATCTGACTATTCTGGCGAAAATTTCCACAGTGGGAACGTAATTAGTTTTTCCTTTTCAACTTCTGAAGGGAGGCAAGGGGGCAAATACTTCTTTATGAGATAGCCAGTGGAGTGACATCAATCTTCGAAGAGAGCCATCAACTTTTTTTTTAAAGAAAGGGAGGTCTCCGCATCCTCAGCTCGAATGGTATTTCAATCCTCTATAAACGACCTTTACTGTTTTGAATTTGGATTACCGGTTGCAGAGTTACTGGTGTATGGAATTGAGACTAGGAAAAATGATGAGTCGTAATTTTGCAACCAGAAGAGAATTGAATCAGCTCCAAAGTTATTTTTCATAGTTAACAAGGGCGTCGCCAGCTTATGACTAAGGGGGAGCAATGGGGCAATATTATGGTGGATAAAAAATATGAACGCCTGGTACAGTCGAAAGCATGAAGTGTTACATTTTGAAAGTCTTTGCCTCGATGACGATTGTAATAAGAACGGTTCTGATACCAATGTATAGAACTTCACAAGCCCTCGACAGCACAATAACTAAATCAAACTTTTGAACACAGTAATAATTATTTATTTTAACAAAAATAATATTTAATTAAAANTTTGAGCTAGACTTCGCCAACAGTCTATGAATGACCCAATTATGTACTGTTCTAGAATGGCAATGAAAGGCGTTTATTATTATTATTATCTCTAGGGGGGGCAACTGCTCCCCTGCGCCCTTGATAGTTAACACAATGTTTGTAATGTTTGAGAAAAATAAATCGTATTTAGAATGAAATAGAACAAAAGTATTCGATGATACAGCGCATTTCTGTTTGTATTTCGATAAAGTATTTTTGTGACTATATAGGTAAGAATCCACATCATGTTATCCTAGCAACAGTGGGTATTGTTCAAAGAGGGTAAACTCTCATGGCTCTCATAACTGTGTCAAAGCTATTTTTCGAGTTTTTAGCCTTTCTCCGCAAGTTTTTATGCCTGGCATTTCGTCTACCACTGTGGTAGACATTATCAGTGTTGAAATTTATCTTCGGTTTTACATCATCACCAATTGGATCAAATGACCTTGTTAATGTACAATCGAGGACAGGTAGCCATATTTTATTAATGTTTGTTGCATTTTCCTCTTCATGGCTACTGCTGATTTGTCGGTTTGTCCGAGTCGAAAATTTTTCTTGTGTTCTGAGAGACGAACACTACACACTGACCCGCAGCTACAATGTATACAGTACATCCTCTATGTTGAAAATGTGGCAGACCAGATCTACAGAGGAAAAAACAGAAGGCAGTATTTGGGACAGGAAGGGTGTTCAATGTAAGCTATTTCACGAGTTTTTTGCCCGTGGTCTACTACTGCGGTATACCTCATCAAAGGCAACTGTTCAGCTCAACATTCATACGCCAAACTAGTACGAAACCGAAGTTCTCAAAATAATCGATTCTGATCAGTTATCCGAGGAACTTTCTACCATCGTTTGGATACAACTGTTTAACGCATGTGATGACGTTGATATTCGCTGGGAAAAATTCTACTCGACCGTAACTGCCTCTGCTGACAAGAACTCCCACTACAAAATATGCCGGAAAAATCCTCTCAAACCATGGATCAATGCCTAAATAATGTTACTCATACATCATAAAAAAAGACTCTGGAAAAGATACAAAAGATCAAAAGCCACAGAAGATTACCAAGCTCATCGAAATTTCTCAAAACACTTGGTATCAACGATACGATCTTCACGTCGCGAGTTCGAAGAATCTATTGCAGAATCTGAAAACAATAAAAAACTGTACAAACGATCTAACCTGAACACCAAAGTAAAGTCTTACAGCCTTTATTTATATGTAATAATAATAATAATAAGTAACCGTCAAAGTGCTGGAGTTTTGCTCAACTCAGAAACTACGATGTTGGAATTTGTCTCCGGTTTTATATCATAATTGAAGAAGGCTCAGAATGTGGAGTTTAATCCAGATCACTAAGCCTACGGATTAAGTGGGGAATGGGAAAAAATGCCAGCGTGGTTCAAACAGAACTGGCTGGTATCTCAATAGCCACAAAAGAAATATCCAGTAAAATAATTTCTGGCAAGAATAACAATTTGCACTGATATTAGACAAGCCCTATTAGTCACAGACGGCTATAACTAGAGTACCACCAAGATTTAGCCAAAGCCTCGGTAGATAATATCATTATCCTGAGGTGGGTTAAAGGGCACGACAGGAGTAAAGGTAATCGCATTGCNAAGTTGCTACTGCTTTCTAATAGAAGCGGCAACACCGCATTGTCGAAAATATTTCAGTTGGCTAGAGAATGTCCGAATATGCCTTCCATTAAATTTTCAAAGTGATCCGTTGTCTGGTTCACCAGAAACATCTAATGTGCCATCCACCGTGAATCAGCCTGTATAAAGGCTAGTGGACACACCTCTATGCAGAATGTGTGAACAGGAAGATTATAAACTGTCAGGCATGTCCTATGCGAGTGTCCGGAGTTATTATGAATAAGAGAGTGTGTGTCTGGTGATTATTTGCCTACACCTGCCGATATAAAGGGGATGTCTCCCTGTGACCTGTCCACCTACCTGGAAAGGACAGGATGGACGATGACCTAGGAGACAACTCCTCGGGAGGATGTACAACGGGTCACATGTGGCCCAAGTGCTGTGGGCCTACACTCACCGTCCCTACTCTACAGATACATATCACCATTGAAGGGCGTAGCTTCGTTTGGCCGTTTCGCAACTCTCTATTCATCTTCAGTGTGAATGCAAGTTTCCTCTTTCGAATCAACCTATTCATACCCAATTTGTTCCAGCTCCAAGACAAAAGCATCGAACTGGAAGGCACCAGAGCGAGAGTCCGCTTGCTCGAAGACCTCCAAAAACCTCTGAACAAGAGCAGCTCCCCCGACATCATCCCCGTGACGTTGGATACGACGCCGCCCGGTCGACCACCTTCGAGGACGGAAATCTCCACGGCCAGCATGAAGGCCATGAGTCCGCTGACGTTGAGCAGCTTGAAGGCCGTCGCCTTGAACATGGATCTCTCGAGCAGTACAGAGTCTGCGCACGATCAGTCGGCAGAGAAGGAGAGGAGGGATAGCGCTGGGAAGTCGAGGAGGCCCAGCAAGATCCCGTTGAAAAATCACACGGCGCCTAAACCTCCACAAGGTGAGATTTATTGGGGTTGGTTTAGTTGTTATTGGAGAAGTTATTTTAATTTTTTTCTGGTGGAAACCTGTTCAGTTTATTACTGTCACTTCTGATGGGAATCGAGAAGACTTGTGCTCCATCTGAGCTCGTGAAAACCCGGAAAATGTTTCTTGTTAATGGTAATATGCAAATCGAAAAACAAAAAAGTTTCTAATTATATGGAGTTTTTCAATAAGGGCGGGTAGATGTTGAAATGGAATAAAACAAGCTGTGTGTGAGGTATTATCAAAATTATTTTTTTATTTGAAAGGCGCATGTATGCCATTAGGTGTGGAATTTGACATCATTCAAATGCCCGCTTCGGCTTCTTACGGTGGCACGGATCCAAGTGGTCCAATTTTCAATGACTCTTCCGCATAGATCCGGCTGAATTCACCTTTAGGGCATCGGTCGATTGTGGTTTATTTGCATAGACCTGCGACTTCAAGAAACCGCACAGGAAAATGTCTACACATCACCCCTGCGAGAGATAACCTTACCCTCAAATCGTTCATGCAAAATGTCAATCGTGGCGTTTGCTGTGTGGCACGTAGCGCCGTCCTGCTGGAACCACATGTCGTCTAGGTCCATATGGTTCAATTTGGGCCATGAGAAATTAATTATCATCGTTCTGTAGCGCTCGCTGTTAACGGTGACCGCCTCACTAACGTCGTTTTCAAAAAAGTACGGACCAATTACGCCGCCGGCCCAAAATCCACACCAAACGGTAACTTTTTGAGGATGCATTATCACCTGGTGAACCTCGCGTGGGTTGGTGTCGGCCCATATACGGCAATTTTGCTTGTTAACACAGCCATTCATCCAAAANCAGAAAATTTTCTGTGAAGATTTCCTGCACTGACGCCTGTCGGATATAATCCAATGCCCTCCGTGGTATTAGCCAGGCGACTGATAGGCGTCAGTCCATTAAACCTTCTGTGTAGGTATATCGAGACTGGCTTGAACGTTTAAAGTTCATTTGCTTCAGATTTGTTTACTGCCAATCTTCAAGCATAGCCCACTAACTAATAAGAAAGTACTAAACTCTAGATTATGTTTATTCAGCCCAAAAATATATTTCTGAAGATGTATATGCACCATTGAGTGCGTAACTTGGCATATTTTTTGTTTCCCCCTAGTATTTTATTTTATGAGAGTGTCATCAATAAATTCATTAGAGAGCGTCATTCACACTCATACCATAAAATATATCATATCACAATGTTTGCAAAATCATGATACACGTATTCTTGCTTTCACAAAAGGCTAAGTTTTTTCAGTAGATAGTGTAGTATTGACAACTCCAGTGGATCCTTGCTCAAACTTCACACATCATGAGATTCGTCATAGCTCCATTGTGAAGTTTGAAACTTTCACAGCCAGAAGTCCTGAAGGAACTGTGGTTATCTGGACTAGGTAGCCCTGGTCCAATAAAGATATATCTCTACGAAACCATGGCTTCTAAACCCAGCTAACCACATTCCTCCTTCATCCTAAATATCGCATTGATACAATTATTCTTCAAATAACTACATTATGTTGCTCTAACCAGTAACCTGTTTCAAGTGCTGTATCTTTCATATAATTTTGTTATTGTCGACCTCATAATTTCGGGATTTATATGTATTCCATTTTAGTTGCAAAGAACCTTATATTCTCCTGCTTTGCTAACAAACTTCCAGTGACTGATGTATCTAAAACTAAAACTCAAACTGAGAGCCAATGCAATATTTGCAAATCCTGAGTACTTAGTACTCCAGAAGGAACTTTGCAACCAAGAACCTTTGCTTTTGTGAAATATTGATATATTCGATGTAATGGTAGTAGCCAGGACACGGGTTGACGTGGGTGTTTTGCTCCCTTCACTCAGTCGACCACTGTGTGAACCGGTGGTTCAACGCGCGAAGCCGGACGATTGATTTTCACTTCCTATCGTCCAACTCGGAACTATGTGTACAAGTCTTGTTGTTTTTGGAACCTAGAAGTTCTATCCACATCCTATGTCTTCATGTTCTCATCATACTTTTTTCTTCACATGGTTTACCAAAACTCCACAGATTAGTTTCTGAAAAGTCGAAGAGATTCTGCCCCCCCCCCTCTGCGAAAAACCAACTTCTAAGAGCGACCTAAAACGTGATTAACTGATATCTCTCTGTCTCCCTTTAGGAGGTTTTGAACTCCCAGTCAGTTTACATTTACAAGTATGACATAAGACCTGTTGCTGCTGCTTGGTTGTCTAATGAATCATAGTCTCTTTCTGAGCGTTTCTGAATACATGTCTCCATCGTTTTTTTTAAAGATGGAGAGGGTTATTCCAAGGTATTTTTAGTTTTGCTCCTATTTTTTGTACCTTTATAAGATAGGTTTTGACTAAATTTGTATGTCATCATTCATTTAGTAGCGTATAATCCAGTTCCTTATAATAATATTCATCTTGTTATGTTAAGTGTATGCGCTTTCTTGCTGAAGCTGAAGCTATTTTTCGTTTTTTTGTCATGATCTACCAGTTTCACATCTGATGTTCCATCTACAACTACGATAGACATCAGCATTGGCACTTGGCTAGTTGTTGGTTCATTCAACTGTTGGTAGGCGTGACTTTGTTTCCATTGGTTGGGTTTATTAGCCTTCATGTATTGTGGAGTGTTGGCAGCCAGACTTAATTTTGATATTCTCTTCCTCTCTGTTTTCTTCAGAATTCCTATCTTCTCTCTATATAACGTTGGATAGCAGCTCTGGTTTCTGTCAAGCACTCAGTTCTATTTGAACGCGATAACTGAGTGCTTTTTCTGAATGCATGTTTGATTACCGTTGATTTGTCCGCTTGTCCGAGACGGCATATTTTTTTGTGCTCAGAGAGCTGGGTTCTGATACTTCCTGGTCATAGTCCAGACCGATTCAAGCTTCAAGGGATCTAGTATAAGACCGGTGTCGTTGAAGGCCCTCTGGGATCCTCAGCTGACCTAGACTCTCGCTGATGATTTTCTTTGCCTTGAAGTTGTGTTTCTTCCCCCAATAGTATATCCGTGGCATTTTCAACATAAGGTAGGGGGTCTATCTATCTTCAACCTTAGCTTTATATTTCCTGGGTCATATTGCCTGCCCGAATTCCCTTTGGTCTTGCCTGTCCAAATTCCCTTTGGTACTTCCTACCCTAAGGAGCTACGACGAACATAACCAACTTCGAGAATCAGCACTACATTACTTGCTATTTCTGGATCCACTAGAGTTGTCAGTTACAATAGAGCGGTATCCTTAGGTAAACACAGCCCGGCACCAGGCACTCGTAACCGTAGCAGCGACTCACCAGGTAGACCGCACTCTGCACAGTCGTGGAGGAACAAGAGCGAGGGCAACAGCCTGATCGGCTCCAAAAGCAACACCTCCCTGTCCAAGTCGAGGAACAGCTCGCTGGTCTCCGCCAAGGACTCCCTCTCCAGCAAGCTGCGCAACAGCGACTCTCTGATGAAGCTAGCGCCTCCAGTACCCCGTGGGGGAACGCTGAAGAAGACCAGCACGCCGATCAAGAAGGAGGGTTCCTCCGTCAGCGAAAAGGTACGCTCGAAAACCACTTCAAGCATTATATGGAGTTTCTTCCGGCGCGACAACCAGTTGTAGGAGGCGGCTGATGATTTTTTATTTAGTTGCTCTCGCGCAGCGCCCCTTTAGGGAAATTTGTGCAGTAAGTGACGCTTGTTTTTTATTATTTGCTTCGGAGGCTTTTGTAGTGGGTTTGGCCGGAGCTTGAGTAGAGCTTGGAGTAGAAAGTGAGTAGTTAGAAGTAGAAGTAGTGGTGTTTGTGCAGCTTTGGAGCTTGGGGGGTTTGGGGGGTACTGAGGGGTCTTTTAGGGATTTTGGGTGTGTTGGGAGTGAATGTCACCTTCACCTACCGTATCATTTGATCATTTTATAGTAATTTATCTTAGACCGGTATGTTTTTTGAGTCGAAAGACCCGAATATTATGACCGTTTTACTTTTGTAAATGAAATAAAAAGTCAGCTCCGGCAGCTGTTGGTCTGGTGAGTATAAGGCTGTAGGTAAGGAGTAAAATATTTGAGAATGAAACGAAGTAGAAAAATATTGAGCACCACCTGTTCAATGTTCCACCACACTATCACAATGGTTCAGTCTGATATTACTCGATTTTGTGGATCTAGGCAACAAAACTACTGTTCAATTTTGAGCAGCCTGCAAAAAACTGGATAAAAAGTGCACTTCTCTAATGAATATATTATGTACAGATATTCGGTTGTTCTTAGGATCGAAATTCAGTGCATTATTCACCTAAATACGATTTGTACAATAATATCTGCGGTAATGGTTTGAGACATTCATTAGATAATTTTACCATTGACTTTAAACCTTGCGTTCACTAAGTACTGTGTAACGGCATTCACAACATATGAATTATTCATGTAATTAAATTCGACGCCAAATTGAAAAAACAACCTGTTAGGTGGTAAAACGAAAGTTGTTGCCTGAATCGGGCAGCAGACCCAGTCTTTGACTGGGTCGGCATGCAGAAAAATTGTCTTGGCCAAAGAATTCGTCTTACGAAACCTACAATTTGAAAAAAAACTATTCCGCAGCAAATTCAGCTCAACTGTTGATCACCATTTCGAGGTTGTATTATTACTGCCTGAAAAAAATTTGATTAGCTCGAAAGGCTAACATCCATCTACAGGGAAGCTCTCTGTTTTAGATGATTACGAACCATTGGAAAATCTGACACATCTTAACCCTTAGTATTTACTTCCGTGAAGATATCAAATAGGGTTAAAAAATGAATTATTCTTCAGCACTGTATTGAATGGAATATCGAAGAAAGGTTGGAGAATTGTCTCTCTTTCATAGATTCTTTCAAAGGAGGTGTTCAAGTGACATGGCATATTTGATTCCACAAAGAGCTGTTTAAGAACTCTTTCATTTGGAAACCTGCGTTTATGTGGAATAAACTTACTGAGAACGGTTTTCCAAATGAATTAAACCTCCAGCGATTCAAATTCAAAGTGAATCGATACTTTCGCACAGGCACCGCTTAAACAAAATCCACTCAAGTAACTTTTGTTGTCTGTACATCTACAATCAATAAATCGAATTCCACTCAAATTCAGTTTGCAAAATGGGTTACCATGACAATTCAGATCCATTACTCGCTATTTTTAGAACTCATACGGTATATGTCATTGAATGTAGCAACTTCCTGCAACACTATGACGAAGCTCTTTGTTTACCGACCTCAGTTGTAGCCCAATTTGTGATGTGTAATCGTTACAGTGTGACGTATTTTCCATTTTGAATCAATCGCTGAATATATTGTTTGGCTTATCGTCGAGGGTGCAACCGTCACAATTTCGTATCTTATCAGTTCAGAGCAGAAGTAGTTCACTTTTTGTACCTCTCAAGATATGGTTTACATATTTCAATTATATCGAACTGTTTTCGAAGGTTGAGAGCAGCTGCAATGTCGAGGATGAGTTGATATCTAGCACACGTAATTTAAATCTCCCGGAGAGGATGATATTTTTCCAGCTCTTCTTCAAAACGGACTGGAAATAATTTTACCTATTCTCTCAAAATTGTATAGAGCTAGTCTGGCGTGGAACTATACCAATTCACCAAGAGAAGGAAATTGGACGATCTAACGCCACTTTCCCTCAATAGTGTGGTCATTTCATTTGGAACGGAGGTGAAATATCTTGGCATTGTCCTTGATGAAAGACTCACCTGGAACGCTCACTTGGAAAAAGTTTTACACAAAACCAGACTGTCTCTATGGGCATGTCGAAGGATTTGTGGTTAAACTTGGGGTTTAGGTCCCAAACAAATCCATTAGATTTATGTGATGATTGTCAGACCAATGATCACGTATGGTGCAATTGCTTGGTGGCCGAAGGCTTTACAAAAAACGGCCCAAGCGGAACTCTCTGGCTTACAGAGACAGGGTTGTCTGACAATCAGTGGTTCCATCAGTACCACACCGTCAGCGGCCATGGAGATCCTTCTAGATCTACCTCCCCTCCACATTTTGCTGGAAAGAGAGGACTGGATCCTGCGGGAGAAGGAAATATTGAGAGCAGATAGTTGTTGATTCACAGATGGATCAAAAACACCTTCCGGTTCTGGTGCAGGTGTTTCCAGTCGCAGACCCAGGACAGAGTTATCTACCTGCCTAGAAACATATGTGACTGTATTTCAAGCGGAAATTTACGCTATTGAATTGTGTGTGGATAAATCCAACCTCACTCACAAGTCAATAAAAATATTCTCGGACAGTCAAGCGGCGTTGAAAGATCATGGCTTCCACTGAGCAACGTCTAAATTGGTAGCAAACTGCCAAAACAGACTCTCCTCGGTAGGAAGACTAAACAAATTTTCTCTGGTCTGGATATTTAGTATGTTATAAAAATATCCCTAGACTTTTCTGATGTGTGTAAATTGGCTACAATGACGAAAAATGAAACAGTTGACAGTCGAAATATCATCAAACAGCTGACAATTGAAATTAAACAGAAAATTTCAACTCGAAGACACTCCTTGTGAAACTTATCCTTAACCAGAACATTCGAGATTAGCAATGGGATTTTTATAAGGTTTCTGTGGATGAGGTTAGACAATCAACTTCACAAATCTATGTTTGTTATTTTCACGTTCGCTGAGGGTAGGTCACTACGGAGTTAAATCTATGTTGCTCTAAAACGTTTTCATTTATTTATAAAGTAAAGTAGCGAAAATTTACATGCTACAAGGTGCGATATCCATGTCAACTTCTTGTCGAGGGCGAATATTCTACCGGTGAGAAAATTATCGAAGTGCTTCAAAAGATTGTAGTCGATTGGCCAGAGGTCAGGGGAGTTTTCCAACCAAAAATTCAATTCCCAATAACCAAACTTTAGTCTGTACTTTGTGTGGTACTGTATGCATGACAACTTGTCACATATTTTTCAAATAATCCATACGCAACATATTCACATTTTCGCATTTGGGATTCAGTATACCTAAGTTTTTTCCGTCTGCCTATAAAAAATTCTGCTAGTTCTGAATCATTAATTGTGATACTAATTATGTTCCAAGTGTTGCATCAAATGACATCGAAACACTGACTATGCAAATACCAGTTGTAGTTGAATGTTTTTTTTACAACAAAATACTGGACTTGACAAGCGGAAAAGACAGCATGTATCACATCTGTTACAAGTAGAGAGAGTTGAGAGTTGTTTGTCCTGGGCTAATTATGAATAATTTTTTCCTTTGTGAAAGTCTAATTTCTCTACAATTGAACATAAGAAAAGATGTAAAGTACGCTTTATCAGCGACATACGTTTTTTGAAATCATGAAGTTTCAAATCAATTCGATTAAAAGTGTATTATTTATTTTTCCATTATATGAGTGAATCCTTAAGACTTCTTTCAAAAAAATGAAATCATATTCATTCAACTTTTATTGCTTGGTCACTGTCAAATGGATTTTGTAACTTTGGCTGACGGATATCAGAAAAAAAAGATACTGAAAATATATGTAGATGTTTTGTTGGTAAGAACAATATTTTGATTTGAATTGAAGGGGTTATATTTTTAGGAGTGATTGATTTTTGGGAAAGAAAGTTTTTGTCTTTTTACTACTTCATCTCGATACAAAAAAGATGAGGGAATCTTCCAAAGAAAAGAAGGAAGTAATCAATTTGATTACTTCTACTTTAAATGAATAGTAACAAATTGCACTTACATGGAACACTGTCATCCTCACTGGTATACATCGATGTTTCGCCTTCAGACACTTGCCTTAAGGCTCTTCAGTACCAAATTGGATAACATTATAAAAAACATAACATTATACAAAAAAGATTCCTTCATCTTTTTTGTATCGAGATTGAGTAATAGAAAGCCAAAAACTTTCTTTCCCAACATCTTTAAATATTGAACAAGCAGACGAATATACAATCAACCCGTTTTTTGTCAGAAATGTGCGTTTGTTAGCGACTGGATGCAAACGAAGGGATTCGTATGCGAATAATGCACAATACAGATTTGTTCAACCTCATATCCTAGTGGAAATTGTATTACCAAACAGACGTTTTCCACCTGGTACCAAAATCGACAACGAGGTGAATTGGATAAACGCTATAATTCGCATGAAATCGATAGATTTCTCTTGTACTGATCGAAAGTTGCTACATCAATTCTTTCGGATGGATTTCCATTAGAAGAATAGTTACAGAAACGCAATTTTAAATGTCTTTTTTTGAAGTGGGTCATCAGTTTCCAAGCCGGCTAATGACACTTTTACTTTGACTTGAAAAGAAAGTCTGATTATTGTTCCCTCCAATGCATCTAAACAAAGTAACAACAAATCAGTGGTCGGGTACTATTTTTCTCAAAGTGACAAGCAAAATCATGTTTCAATTTTCTACATTGTTATCATTATCAAGAATAATAGAATGATTTTTCACGTTTAAAGAGAAAGAATGGTATGTTTTATTATTAGACAAAGATTACTATTTTGTGCATTCAGGATAAATTAACTTCATGATCTCACAATTCGAAAATTATTCTT